TAAGCACAGTACTAACGTTGTACTTTGGTTTCTAAGCACAGTATTAACGGTGTACTTTGGTTCCTAAGCACAGTATTAACGGTGTACTTTGGTTCCTAAGCACAGTACTAATGGTGTACTTTGGTTTCTAAGCACAGTACTAACCAGTGTACTTTAGTTTCTAAGCACAGTACTAACCAGTGTACTTTAGTTTCTAAGCACAGTACTAACAGGTGTACTTTGGTTTCTAAGCACAGTACTAACAGGTGTTCTTTGGTTTCTAAGCACAGTACTAATGGTGTACTTTGGTTTCTAAGCACAGTACTAACTGGTGTACTTTGGTTTCTAAGCTCAGTACTAACAGGTGTACTTTGGTTTCTAAGCACAGTACTAACCAGTGTACTTTGGTTTCTAAGCACAATACTAACTGGTGTACACAGTACTAACCTGTGTACTTTGGTTTCTATGCACAGTACTAACAGGTGTACTTTGGTTTCTAGGCACAGTACTAACGGTGTACTTTGGTTTCTAAGCACAATACTAACTGGTGTACACAGTACTAACCTGTGTACTTTGGTTTCTAAGCACAGTAAAAAATGTAGACTACACCACTGGTTTTACCTCACAAGCGAGTGTCACCCAGCTCAACCTTGGAATCAAACTACTTGTAGTTTGTCTCCACTTAAACAGCTGAGTGACATTAAAAAGACGATTGAGTGATTCTTCTGCTTCTCACTGGTCTTGGGCTTCTTCTGTCCTTTTCTTTTCCTTCCTCCTGCTTCATTCATCACTTTTGCCTCTCCTGTGTTTATCCCACGCCGCCCTGCAGCCACAGCCTCCCCATGATGGAGCGTTGCTGACACAATGCTAACTCAGCACTAACACACACACATGCACAGAGAAGCAAATGCTCCAATCTTCAGGTTAAGCCAGTGTGTGTGTGTGTGTGTGTGTGTGTGTATGACAACATGGTTGGGTTAAACCCATAAACAGACAAGTGCAGGTGGGAGGAATGTGTGAAATGACTAATGAATCCAGGGTTTTCCCTTGATCAGAGTGGGCTTTTAGGGGCTTTAAAGGAGCACCTGCTTGTTCAACTGACAGGGATTTCCTGCCCCTTGAGAAAATAAAAGCTCAATTAAATAAATCTGTGTTCAGTCACTGCTGGTTAAAATCTTTTAGAAGGCGCAGGCTTTTTGCAATCAATTAAAAATAGTGTTTGTTCACAGACTGAGTTCATTTGGAAAGCCCACTTTTTTCCCCCAATAATTTAATTTAAGCTCCCTGCAGCTTTAAATACATTTTATTCAATTCCTCTCATCTTTCCTACTTTATTTGGGGGGGTCACTCTGGGGGGCAGAGCTGGAAGAGCATGATAAAGGGTTTACATAAAAGGATTTGGACTCGTCTGTGGAGATGTCCTTCAGAAGCACCGTTTCTGTGCACAAGGACCCTGCAGGGTGTCCTTCAGAGACATTAACAGGAACATGTCAGTAATTAATCTGAATCCTGCTCAGATTATCCTCATGCATGCTCAGATTACTTCCAATCACTTACTTTGGCACTTGACAACCTGCGCGGAGATCTCCCGGCTGCACACGTCGCACCAGTCCTGGTTCACGGGCTGGGTTTCGAACCTGTGTCCCTCGCCTCTCTCCGTCCTCACCCGAGGGTCCATCTCCTGCGGGAAGATGGACCAGGCCTCGATGCGGTGCGGTTCGGTGCGGGCCAGCTTCACCACCCCGGTCCGGCCCTGCGTGAGCCGCTCCAGCGGCAGACCTCCGCACTCCCCCGGGGAGGAGGCGCTCTGAGGGCCGGCGCCTCCGTTCCGAGAGCCGCGTCTCCCGAGCCGTGAGTCCCGGTGCCGGTGGGATCTCCTACGACCGTCGGTCGGTCCGCTCGGCATGGCACCGAGCCCGGACTCCTTCAGCGAGCCCCCCCGCCGACTCCCCGTGTTTTGGTTTGCCTCCCGGTTGATGCCGAGGCGCCCGGCTCGACCCTGCGGTGACCCGGCGACACCGCCGCCGCCCTGCTGTGTCGGGCTACGTGGCGCATCAGAACCGGCGGCCCGGACACCGCATCCTTCCCCGGGCATCCTCCCTCCTCCGACCGCCGCTCCTCCAGCTGGTTCCGGAGGAGGTCGTGACTCCTCAGCGGCAGTGACCGAGCCGAAGTCCTCGCAGCTCCTCGCGAACATCATCTTCTCCCAGGACGACTTCCTCGGCAGGCTGATCTTCGCCTTGGTGCCCGACAGTTTGAAGAGCAGCATCGGCGGTTCCGAGTCCAGCCTGTGCGGACCCGGCTGCTGGCCCACCACGCTCACAGACGCCATTGTAGTGTCCCTCTTAACGCGTGTGTGCGCGGCAGCTCGGAGTGTGTGGCTGTTTTCTTGTTTTTTTTTTAGTCCGTGCCTCGAATATAAACTCCGCTCCCGCCAGTGACAAACGTGTAGTGACGTCACGGATCAACGGCTTTAAATGCCGCGAGCGCGCTCCCGACGCTGCGCGCGCTCAGACTGATAGCGTGAATCGTTGTCAAGACTAAAGATATACTGTAGCTCTTTTAATAAGACAACTAAATACTAATTAAATAAGGAAAAGTGAGCACCATAAACCAGTCTCTGATCAGAGGATAGTAAAAAGCACGACCAACATTTTTAAAGAGTTATATTAGGGATGCACAATGTTAGATTTTTGGCAGATATCCGATATCTTTTTTCCTAAACCTACTTACAGGTGGAATTAAAATTTTCTGCCGAATGCAGATGCCAAAAAGGGGGTTGAAAATGATTCAACTTGGATTATGTTTAATGTCAAATTTATTCACATAATAACACGTGAACAGTGCAAATTTGTAAATTTTCACAAATCTAGACTCAACCTGTTCACAAGCGACAAGTGAAAAGCGCATAGTGCATTAATAGACTTGACAGTTTCTTAAATTAAAAATTAACTCAAAACAGAAGCCTATCGAAGAGTTATTTTGATGTACGATATTTAACTTTATCGCTAATATCGGCCAATACCGATAATATCGTGCATCCCTAGTTAATATAGATTATAGATTTATATTAGATTATAAAAACTAAAAATTGTATAAATTCTGTAGGGGTTATTTTTAATCGGATGCCTTTCATGATGCAACTTGGGCTCAAACCAGCAGCCTCAGGAGGACTGCAGCACTTGACCACTGAGCTACTGCCGGCGAAGAATGGCGACTACGAATCCAAAATAAAACAACGGACAAAAACCGAACAAATATGCTTAAGCAGATTTAAAAAAATAACTATTTTTAAGGAATTTAAAATATCTCATTGTATGTCTATGGGGAAAATATTTGCAAATATCCTGAAATATTTAAAAAAAGTACTTAACAAAAACCAAAAAGTCATAGCACAGATCTGAATTATCTAAACGTTTTGATGAATGGCTAAAATAAGAAAAAGTACATAAATCCATCCACACTCCTGGAAATTTTAAAAATAGTAGCTAAACATTTTTACAATGTACCAGTTTGTGCCCATATATCAACTATATATTTACTTTAAAACCCTTATGCATTGAATATTACTTTAGAGTAATGTAAATAAATCAATAAATGCCTGAAGCATTACAATGTCACCTTTGTTTGTGTGGAATACAGAAAGATACTGAAGTTCCCACCTTAGCCAAAAGCGCGTCATGTGAGCAGCTAAAACCCACAGAAAACCACAGCCGAGCGGAACTCCACCCCAACTGAGAAAGTTCAAACTCTGCTCCACTGAGAGAAAAGCTTTCAGTTTTATTTTCTGCCCTCTTTTGAGTCACATCTATGCACTAGAGTCAGAATCTTACAAATCTTAAATAACGTTGAAAACAATAATTAAAAAATATAAAAGAATGAAACACTGAAATAATGATTCACCCTAGAACTTGTTTCTTGTGTACTGTTATTAAAAACAAACAACAAAGCCTTGGATTTCCCCCACAGCGTTAACCACACTCAGTTTCCCATTTTTTTTAAACGGCACTTTGGTGTACTGTCACTGAAGTGGGTTTGTCAGAATTAAATGTAGACTGTAGGGTTTCCCTTACTGTGGTTGTTCTCTGGAATCCCAAAAATAAATACAGTCAAAACAAAAATGATACAAATATGGCTTCAAACGTTTAATCATAAATAAATCTCTAACAGAAGGAGCTACTCGAGCAAAGGCCAGTCTTTAACACAAACATCCAGAAACTTCGATCGGACTCTGTTCAGGCTTTCAGATAAACGTCTTGGGAGTTTACTGACAGAATTTACACTTTACCCTCTGTGTGATTGCATCCATCTCACAAAACCATTTGACATCTTTAAAAAAAATCAGTTTATCTTGTGACCAACAGTTGCGATGATGCGCAAAGATGATTAGAAATCAGAGTTTTCTAAAAAAATCACCAAGAGGTAGGCCTGTCACGATAACAAATTTTGCTGGGCGATTAATTGTCTCAGAAATTATTGCGATAAACGATAATATTGTTTGAAATTTAACAATAATTAATTGTCAAATTTTAGAAGAAATGTTGATTTGTTTGGAGTGTAGTACCTTTTTTGACCACTTGATGGCAGTATAAGACTGTTTGAACCAAAGGATGGATAGATGAGCAGCGTGTCTCTTTAAGAAAAATGGGAGGGAGGGCTCTTGACGTGACATGGGCTGACATGGTGGCTGCTCTGTGATTTGAGCTCTTTAGCATAGCATTTTTGACACAAAGCCTTTAATAAAAAAATCAGTAAACAAGTTCTCAGCTTCTTTTTGCAGAGAAAAACACCTTTTTTTTTTACAAAGGCATGGGTTTCAACCGTGAATTTTGGATTTTTGAAAAGACGGAGGTTTATTTCCGAGGTCGGCCTGTTAGCTTAGCTCGTAGCTTAGCTGCTTTTAACGATCCAAAAATGTGATTTTGGATCGTTAAAACAGATTATAAAGAGAATGGGGGAAGGGGGGGGGGTGTCAGTGAAGAGCACCAAAGTTGAGCCTTTTGTCGTCCAGTGTCTTCAGTAGAAAGAGAGAGATATGAAGAAACGATAAAGCCGGTAAACGAAAATGAGGTTGATAATTTTCATTCATCATGCGATTAATTGATTTATTACAGGCCTACTAAGAGGAACAGAAAAAGAAAAAAAGGTTCTTTGGTGAAACAGCATTCATAATGAGATCAGAATCAGATTTTTTTTTTTAAACCACAGAAATACTAGCAACGTAGTATGGTTAAATTCTCAAGAGCTTCTGAAGTGGAAGAAATGCAACCAGTGAAACAGTCCAGCAGCTGACTGGGCATTCACTGTTTCATCCAGTCTAAAACCACGGCAGCCCTATTAAAAATACAGTAACTCGAAAGGCTTTAACGAGTTTTGTATTGAACTGCCGTACTCAGTCAGCAGCACACTAACACCCACACTAAAAGTCCATCTGTGGCCTATCCCACATGTTTCTGTGGATCAAGTCTTTAACTTGAGTTCACATTGTGATTGGTTTAAACTGCTACATCTTGGCCACACACAGCACATCCATCCATATAGAAAAAAAATGTTCAGAAGTGTTTATGTGCGGCTGTTAAAATGGTCCGACAGGAACTGAACACGATCTTGGTGCGTCGTCGTCGTCACAGAGTGCAGGGTCTGTCTGGACTCGGCTCCAGAGCTGCTGCGGGGTTCACTGCGCCGAGGCTGCAGGATCAGAGAAACACAGTGAACGCCGCGCTGTAGAACGGTTTGAATGAGATTTACTGACAGGAAGCTGTTCGCTCAACTGACCTTTCAATAATGCTGTTGTTGCACTGCAGCTCTCGCACCAAAAGCTCCATTTCCTCCCTTAAATGGTGCATCCTAAAATAAAGCAACTTGCTCATTTATCCTTATAGTGGCATTGCAATGAAAGTCCTCCATTAAAGAAAAACTAACATTTCAGGCATAACCAGTTATTACTTTGGTCAACCATTAAGGCACACTTCACCCTCCTGATGTGACAAAACAAGAACAAACAGACACCTGGAGACCATCGGCTTCTTGTCGTTTGGTACGACTCCCGGCTGATGTTCAGCTCTCTCAAACTGCAGAGTGTGGAGGAGCCTGTCCATAGCCTGAGGTGGGCAGACAACACTTTACAACTCTCATATCAGACAAACAAATCCAAAACAATGGAAAATAAAGCTGTAGGGTTGTTTGAAAACATTTTAAACAAAGAATATTTGGACCTAGTTAAAAACATATTAAAAATATCACTAAAATTAAAAAAGAATGCAGTTACTTTATTCTGGTGCTGCTCAGTCATTTCCAAGTCTGCCAACAAGCCCCTGGAGAAAGAACCAAAGTCCTGTAGTTGGGCCTGCATCTCCAGGATAACACTTGAATCAGAGAAGCACAACCTGGAAGTTACAGCACCTATATACCAGTCTACAACCAAAACCATCAAACTGACCAAGGTTTGTGAAAGGAGCTTCATTTAAATACCGAACAAGGTTTTATTTTCTGTTAAATGTGTTTTCAAGTAACTCAGACAAGTTGTAGGAGAGACTAAAAAGATCCTCCCCCCATACAGGTGAAGATAAAACATCAAACCCATGTGCTGCTTTCATGGATATTGTATCCACTCACAAGTGCTAGCAGAGCAGCTACATCACTACAGTCACTCTCGTGTGATGTCAACATCACTCTTTATTATTAGTACTCACTGTCAGCCTCCAACAAAAAGTGTTTTCCCCCCTTGTACGTACCAGGAACAGCCTCTGACTCATGGTGACAATTCACAGCCAATAACAGAAAATTCAACATGAATGTCAAACCAAAACCTGAACAGGACATTAACAAGAACAACCCATTTCCACACTCACAAACATCGTAAACACAAACATCGTAAACACAAACATCGTAAACACTCACAAACATCGTAAACACAAACATCGTAAACACTCACAAACAATGTGAACACTCAAAAACATTGCGCACTTACAGTGGTGCTTAAATGTTTGTGATGCCTTTATAATTTTCTATATTTCTGCATAAATATAATCTAATCTTCAGATTTTCACAAAAGTCCTAAAAGAGAACCCAGTTAAACAAAAGAGACAAAAATATTATACTTTGTCATTTAGCTATTGAGGAAAATGATCCAATATTACATATTTGTGAGTAGTAAAAATACGTGAACCTTTGCTTTCAGTATCTGGTGTATCAACTAAATATTTCTGGTAACTGTTGATCAGTCCTCCACACCAGCTTGGAGGAATTTTAGTCCATTCCTCTGTACAGAACAGCTTCAAATCTGGATGTTGGTGGTTTCCTCACATTAACTGCAGCTTCAGGTCCTTCCACAACATCTGGATTGGATTAAGGTCAGGTCTTTGACTTGACCTTTACAAAACATGAACTTTATTCTTCTTGGCCCATTCTTTAGTAGAACCACTTGTGTGCTGAGGGTCATTGTCTCGCTGCATGACCCACCTTCTCCTGAGATTCAGTTCATGGACACATGTTCTGACATTTTCCTTTAGAATTATGATATAATTCAGAATTCATTGTTCCACCAATGATGGCAAGCCGTCCTGGCCCAGATGCAGCAAAATAGGCCCAAACCATGATACTACCTCCACCATGTTTCACAGATGGGATAAGGAATGCAGTTTTCCTTTCTCCAAACATAACTCTTTTCATTTAAACCAAAAAAGTTCTATTTTGGTCTCATCTGTCCACAGAACAACAGTCTTCTGTCTTGTCCACGTGATCTTTAGCAAACTAGTCGAGCAGCCACGTTCTTTTTGGAGAGCCTTCCATGACACCATTGTTGTTCATTGTTCTCTTGACTGTGGACTCATGAACATCAACAATAATGTGAGAGAGGACTTCCATTGCTTAGGAGTTACCCTGAGGTCCTTTGTGACCTCGCAGACTGTTCCACACCTTGTTCTTGGAGTGATCTTTGTTGGTCCACCACTCCTGGGGAGGGTAACGATGCTCTTGAATTTCCTCCATTTGTCCAAATCTGACTGTGGATTTGTGGAGTCCAAACTTTGTAGAGATGGTTTTGTAACCTTTTTCATCCTGATGAGCATCAACAACTCTTTTCCTGAGCTCCTCAGAAATTTCCTTTGTTCCTGCCATGATCCACTTCCACAAACATGTTGTGAAGATCAGACTTTGATAGATCCTGTTCTTTAAATCAAACAGGCCCACTCACACCTGATCATCATCCCATTGATTGAAAACACCTGATTCTAATTTAATCTTTAATTTAACTGCTAATCCTAGAGGTTCACATACTTTTACCACTCACAAATATGTAATATTGGATCATTTTCCTCAATAAATAAATGACCCAAGTATTATATCTTGTCTTGTTTGTTTAACTGGGTTCACTTAATCTACTTAATCTGATGATGCTTTATATTTATGTAGAAATACAGAAACTTCTAAAGGCTTCACCAACATCCAAGCACCACTGTAAGTGCCACAAACCTACCCAGCATTCTTTGCAACTCACACCGTCTCTCTGGTACACTAAAATATTGTACAAAGGTAAAACTACTGTCGTTTCACATTTGTACACATCTCACAATAGTTTGAAAGGTACAGATATTTAGGATAAACTACAAACACCTGAAGATGACTCTCTCACAGAGAGAACTTTGTGAGTTTGGGGTGAAAAATAGTTAAAGTTAAAAAGACACACAAATCATTGCTTTAATCTGAGACCTACAAATATTTGTCTTTTTGTGTTCATTTTGTTCAAAGTGAGATTTTAGATAGAAAAGTCTCAGGGCGGTCAGGGTTGTGGTGTGGTGGGGCCTGTCAGCGAGAACGGGATCAAAAGTAAAAGGTTAGTATAGTTTGGATTTCAAAAGACACCCGTCTCACAAGACGAGACAGGGCGGGGCTTCAACAATATTTAAACCAGAAAAATGGTTTTGCCACAAACTTCTCATTAAAGTTGTGTGACCATTTATTGCTGACATCAACTCCTCTTCACAAGGGGCCAAAATTATAAACTTAAATTCAGGCAGACGCTCTGAACGGTGTCTGTAACGTCAGTTATTTTTAGCCCGGTCAAAAAAAAAAAACACACACCGATTTTTCAAATCTTTTAAAACGGTTTACAACTTAAGAGCCTATTCTGACCTGCTCCATGTCCTTGTTGAAGCCAAGAGCTCTTTATATCTCTGCACACATTCTTCTCTGAAGAGGGACTTTACTCGCTTAATGTGGGAGGACAGGTGGATTCTGGGAAGGAGAAGCAACAGATTACACAGGACTTCAGATGTTTGGACACCAGCTGTGTAGAAAATCCAGAAAAAAGCTCACTTTTCAAACTTGTGGATTTGCTCATCATTATAGGGCAGCTCTGCAATAAAAAGAAGTTAATAAAGTAGTTATAACTGATAATTAAAATGTAAATTTATATTAAGACAGACAAAGTTGCAGTTACGTAAAACACGTAGGATAAAAAGCTTTGACTTGCAAATTTCTACATCCAAATTTCAGGAGGGTTTTAAGAATTAAAACAGCAAAAACGTGCTTATAGCTACGTATCTAAAATAAAAACTGTGCCTGCCAAAACATGTTGTATAATGAGGAAAGTTTCCATACTTCCAGTCAGTCTGTCTTTTCGGTATTGCTGATGGATCGCTGTGATCTTCTGAAGCAGGATCTCCATCCTCTGACAGCTGTGGGGGGGAAACAAGGCAAATATTCAACATGAAATAACTCACTGTCCTCCCTGAACGCCTGCCCTCCCACAATACCTCTTGTCATGGGCCAGAGTCTCAGCTAGCTTGGCCTGTTCGATCTGCAGACGCTCCAGTCGGTTCTGAAACTCCTGGATTCCAACAGCGTACACAGGCAGGTTCTGATGAACCTGAAAACCCAGCAGAAAATGATGATGATATATTAAAATACATATTATAGAACTATTATCATTTACACGCCTCCATTTTCTCTTTCTTTAGTTGACTATATTTGTCCATTTCCTGTTTCTCATAATATTAAAATATTCTTGCTAAACCATTCAATGTTATTTCAAGTGCGATGTTTTGCTTCAATCTTGCAATAACATTGTGATAGGATCATAATGACATTTTATTTACGTTTTATTGTCTTTAGACTCCTTAGCACTCTTAAACCACTTTATTAACTCTCAAAGTTGGAGTTGGATCCCACTGTGGGCCATGAAACCCCAAGCTGGGGGTCTTTTGAAGATTTCCAGAAAGCTACAAATGATCGCTCATATGTTCGACATTAGTGTTCCAAAAGATGAAAAAGCATAAAATAAAAATCAAAAGCATACTCATATAAAGGATAAAACTAAAACTGTGGTTGTTGAGGCTGCTGTACTGAAGTCAGCAAGCTCTTGTTTAATTGGATTATTTGAAACATCTGTGCGCTTCAACCAGCGATGACTGGCGCTGAATGTCTCCACAACTTTTATTTTTGGAGTCGTGGAACTGAAAGGTAACACCGAGATAAAACACCTTAAAAATCTGGTAAGACTTTAACAAAATACTGTCTAATTGTCCTAAACATTTTTCCCTCACCTCCCTGTGAAAAGTAAGAAAATGAAGTAGCAAAGTGTTAGAAGGAGTTTCGAATGAGTCCATGTATGCTGCAGTAAGCTGTGATGAGAGTATGCAGTAGTGAAACAAAAGAGGTTTCAAAATGTATTACAATAAGTACTTTAAGTGCATAAGCTAATGCGTTATTAAACAGATGTTTAACTCTTATTATAGTACAGTATTAAAATGTAAAATATCACCTTTTGAAAAAGGATTATTTGTAATAACCGAAACATAATTTTGTTTTTATCAAAGATAGCTTCCAGTGCTAAAGGAAATAATAAATGAAGCGCTGAAGCTTTTTAGAGAACATGAGCCCCTCTTCTCAAAGTTCCTACTTAAATACTTTAAAGTTATTTCACCGAGTTAAACTTTTGTAGGACTAATTAACTGGGCTCAGTCTATTCTTAAGGACTCAAGTAAACAATTTTCACAAGTTGCTTTCAGAACCTGCATTTGGAATAAAGGTTGTCTACTTTGTCACTGAGGCTACATAAATATATCTGTGCAGGTTAGAGCTTTTATTACTTTTTTGTTTTTCTTTTACGATATATACTGTATTTTCTAATGTCAAGTCACTCATCATGAAAAAAAAAAAAAATAAAAAAAAATATATATATATATATATATATATATATATATATATATATAAGTCACTTCAGTGTATAAGTTGCATTTATTATGCATCACTGCTGATCCGTCGTGTTTATTATGCGCTGCTGATCCCCGGGAAACGTGGGCCGGTGTCGTGCCAAAACTCGATTGGCGGCTGCACGCATGGGAGGACTTGCTGTTGCAGTTCTTCAAAACTTAACAAGATTAAAACTTAAAAACAATTATTTGTTTGCTCTACGTTATAGCAAAGGTGTGTCTTTATGCCTCTAGCGGCTGCAAATGGTAATAGTTACTCTGGTTCACGTCAGTTTGAATGAACATTTAAAGCATCAGTCAAAAATTGCGTTATGAATATGAAAAAAAACCTATATAAGTTGCTTTAGTGTATAAGTTGCAGGACTGGCAAATCTATGCAAAAAAAACTGTGACGTATACACCAGAAAATATGGTAATTGTAAAGATAACGGTACATAGCTGCAAGACAAAGAGTATTGTAATAATTTTAGAAAATAAACAATTAGAATAAAAAGCAGTCAGACCAAAAACTTAAATAAATAAGTAAGTAAGTATGATAAGTGCTGGTATACCAGTATAACAACCAGTACAGTACAAGTACATTTTTTATACTTTTGTTGGATGTAACTGGGACCCTGTGTACACAATTTCGTTCCACCTCATGTACCATGTGGTGCATATGACAAATAAAGAATCTTGAATCCTTGAAGTACGTACAGTAAGTCCATTAATGGTTTTTATTTCCTAGCCCTGAGGGTTAGTGGAAACTTTTAGTTTGAAGGGTTTTATTTTCATTCAGCCTTTACTTATACAGGTTAATCCAATTGAGTCTCAGGGACTCATTTAAAAGAGAGACCTGAAATTTGAGTTTCAGTTTTGGTATTGTCTTTAGTTTTCCAAGTAATTTTTCATATATTTACCGGTAAGTAAAACTCAAACTGTGTCCGGTTGTAATGCTGTATACTGTATCAGGGTTAAATGGGTAAAAGCAACTAAGAGTTCGAACAAAACTCCATAAAAAAATGTTATAATGAAAAAAAAAACATGTTAAAAACTTAAAGACACAACATCTGCTGTACATTGTTGTTTTGTTAATAGTTGTAATTTGTTCTAACAAGACAGAGATTGAATTGAAAGTAAAAAACATGGGGAAAATATTTCAACACAAATCCATGTTTTACTTTATTATTCAGTTCATAAAAGCGACATTGTGACGTTTGACAAAACTGTTGCTTCTGGACTGGACTTACCATCTGCAGCTTTTGACTATTATTCGCTGGCCCTGGACTTTCAGAGGAATAAGAGGCTCTATGAAACACAAGACATCAGTCATGAGACAAAAGCTTCACAGATGAGATTGTTATGATATCAGGAATATCAGTAATGTCAATGCGTGTCACTAAAAAGATGAAGATAGGAAAATATATTCTTTACAAACAGTTAAAGCTCAGTTAAATTCAGTTAAAGTTTCCACACATGTAGGATGAAACGTGATGTATCTCATTACCAAAGATGTGCAAATAAACTTACAGTTTATGAACCCTGTGTTGCGTAATGAGACAAGACTGTAACCTCGTGGTGATCATTGCAATACGATGCATGGCTTCTCTGCACTCCTGACGTAACATCATCCTGAGAGACATGACGGATGTAAAGGATGGGTGAGAAATAACCGGAGAGGTTTATACCTCACAAATGAGTACCATGCAAGTGTTTGTCTCACATGTAGCTGTAGTAACCCTGCAGCAGAAGCTCTCGGTGAGCGTGAAGCAACTGCACAATTCTCTTGTACTGATGGACCACTCCTACTGTCGCCTAAAAACAAAATGGAGGTTCACGAATGATGAACTTCAAGTTTATGAAACATTCAGTTCACATAAAAAACAAACAAAATATGAGCCAGAGCATACCTTGGAGAAACTGTAGTCTGCTACGACATCAAACCTGGTTGGAATGGGAGGAGTCTCTGCTGCACAGAAAAAAAGAAATCTTAAAGGAATATGAAATATTATCAATCTTTCCTAACTTGCCAACTTCATATTTGCATTTATAATACTCTGAATCACATTTATCAATCTCCTTCATCTATCTAGTATTTTACTTAGTTGTTTGACATGGGGTGTGTGTGTGTGTGTGTGTGTGTGTGTGGGGGGGGGGGGGGGTCAGGCAGCAGTACAGCGCTGGACTGGTTTTAGTCCTACTTAGCCAAGCGTGTCTGTGTCTGTCTTGGTTACCATGCGTCCTCCTCTGCTCGTCTTTTGTGTAGAGTTCCGCAGGGCTCAGTTTTAGGCCCCCTCCTCTTCACGCTGTACCTGCTCCCTCTTGGCTCTATTTTGAGCAAATATGGGTTCTTTGGCCCAGTATATCTGTCCAACTATTACAAACCTAGGGGTCAAAGTCGATGCAGTGCTAAAGTTAGAAAATCACATCAAAGCAGATGTTAAATCTTGTTGGGTTTTTTTTTTTCATTTGAGGCAGTTGGCTAAAGTAAAGCTGATTCTTTCTAAGCTGCATTTCGAAACAGTAGTTTATGTCTTTGTGACCACTCTGCTTGACTACTGTAACGCACTCTATAAAGGAATCAGTGATTTATGTATCTCTCAGCTTCAGAGGGTACAGAATGCTGCTGCATAGTTTTAACAGGCACATGAAAGTTTGACCACATTTCCCGTTTTAGCCTTTCTGCACTGGCTGCACGTACATTTTAGGATTAATTTTAAAATAATTTTATATGCTTTTAAAGCTCTTTGCCCTGCCCCATCTGTCTGAGTTGCCACCCTTTCAATCCCTCAGGTCATGTGATCAGCTGCTCTTGAGTGTGCCCAAGATAAAGTGTAAGCTCAGAGGAGATCGTGCTTTTGCTGTGGCAGCAACTAAACTGTGGAACAACCTTCCCTTGAACATCAGACTGGCCTCTTACCTGTCTGTTTTCAAATCCCTTCTTAAAACTCATCTCTTCTTCATGGCCTTTGACACCATCTGAAATGTTGACTTTTAATTATTTTAATTGTTCTTTATTGTCTGGTTGTATGATTGTTTTATTATGTGTACAGCACTTTGGTCCTGTGGGTGTTTAAAGTGCTCTATAAATAAAGCTGGTATGGTATGGCGGATGGCCGCTTGTCCTGAGCCTGGTTCTGCTGGAGGCTTCTTCCTTTTAAAAATGAGTTTTTCTTTCCACTGTTGCCATTGTGCTTGCTCAGGATGGAAGACTGCGACAAAGTGAAGATTCGAGTCTGCTGGCTTCCTTAGATAGAGAACTTTACTAATTGGCTTTTCTATATGTGTGTACGTTCCTGTAAAGTGCCCTGAGACAACTTTGTTGTGATATGGCACTATATAAATAAACTGAATTGAATTGTACGGCATGGTATCTTCAAAATTAATGTTCACAGTAAAGATCATTGTCTCTGTTTGTCTTACGTTCTCTGAAGGGCAGGCCAATGTTGGATGCAGGAGCGTAGCTGAGCAGAATGAGAGGCTGAGAACAGGAAGTAGATGGAAGGTTGACCACCTTCATGTTGCCCTCCAGGGGCAGGTCGTGACCCAGGTACATGAGGCGCTGATGTTGCATCCCAACACCAGTCTGAGACGCCACGTCCTCCTTGAACACCGACACACTGGGTGAGAGGGAAGGCATTTTAAAGAGAAACACAATGTACACAATTTGAAAAGTGTATTCTGTGTTTAGCAGCAGCAGTAGTACATTTTGACAAGATTGTTGTTTAGTAAAATAAATAAATATGATCTAAATAATAATTTATCACAAACATGTTCAATAAAATTACGTAAATGCCAGACTTCCCATATTTATCGCCTTCTGTTAAATGACTTGGTTATATTAAAATAAGCTACATTCTGCAGTTCATAGTTCCTCATTTCTACAATCTGTGGGTTTTGATTTAATTTTTATCTTATGGTTTGTTTCGATGTTTGGTGTTTTTGTGTCTGCTGTTCATTCTGGGGCTCGTTTTTATGTTTTTTTGTTGAACCTCGAGCTTTGTGTGCCTTCTTAATAAAGTGCAGGCATGTGGTGCAAACTATTTTATCCCTTATTAAAAGTGCATCATAAATTTTTACTAGGTCCACAAAAGTAGCACTGGTATGAACTTTATGTTGAAAATCCTTTGTTGCTCACAACAAACTACACTGTCAGCACCAGTATCCATTCTGCTTCCAGTAACAGGAAGAAAAGCTGGCAGCGTCATTGTGATAGAAAAATATTTTAGTTAAAAAGATTTAATCTGTTAAAGTTTGGACAGTTTTTGCATGTTTTTTTTTTTTTTTTACATTTGCTGATCATAATGAATTGTGTAAAGATTTTCCAAAACTAAAATGAGTTGCTAAATTAGTTTCTAAATTAATTATTTAAACGCCAGATGTAAAACAATTGTGTGGTTTCTGACAAACTGAAACATCTGGATGACACGTTAGACATTTGATAAGATGAGTTTGGTCAGAAAGTGTGTGTGGGACGACAGGCCCGAGAGGACGTACGTCTTGTAGTGCTGAATGTAAATACATTGTGCCATGGCGTGCTGCAGAGAGAAGAGATGGACTGGCTGCCGCTGCAAGATATCTGTTGTGGCTGTGAAGAACTGGTCAAAGCCCCAACACCGCTCCTGGTCAGCCTCCATTATGCCTGCGAGTACTGGAACCAGCAGCACTTTCAGACCCCTACAACCAGAGAGACACAGAGAACGACAGAAAAAAGAACAAGCAATAGGTGAAGAAAAGGTTAAAGTACTACTCAAAAGCATATCTTTGATATTGATTTGATTTTGAAATACTTACCAGTAATGTACTTTTCAGTCTATAAGCCGCTACTTTTGTCACAGGCTTAGAACCCCGCGGTTTATACGATGCTGCGGCTAATTTCTGGGATTTTCTT